CGGCCAATTGCCGTTGCGTTCGCCCTATGTACTTGCATTCGCAAGTGCATGCCAATTCGTAAACACATAAACACAGTCACCACTCTTCAGTACATGCTAAAAGGAATATATCGAAAGGACTATTTCATAAGTAGTTTCAGGGCTTTTCTTGTTGTCTTTCTGTCAACTCCTATGGTATCTAAATTCCTTTTTTTATCATTCCCAATGCATTCGAGGTTTGCCAACAGTGGATCTTTCAACACTTCATACTTGTGGCAGTGCTAGGAATTTCTGAGATAGATTGCGGTCGATTAATGCTTCCGAGTCTGCATCTTCTTATTTTTTCAGGCCTCCAGAACGTCCCTTATATCCTGTGTCAAAATCACCCCTTTAAAGCATTCAAAACATTTCCTGCACGTTGTTTTAGCGAGAGCATGTGCACTATAAGTTTCAGCAAGTAAATGATGACTCACAGCAGCATTTTTTCAAATAAAAACCGAAAAGATATATTTAAAGCATTGTTTCCCGGGTTCGAATTTAAGGCTAGCGTACACAGCAGGATTTATTTTTACAAACAAATTTCGGGCCAGTTTTTAGACTGTTTCCTGTCTTTGCATGAAGTAGATAACAAATGGAAGTACACAACAGTCTGAATTTGCACAGGAATCAATGCATAACAGCAAGGTCATTTTCAACGCGGCGAATAGTCAATAATAATGTCACCTTTAAACTTGGGATAAAGAAAGGAAAAGTAGGGATGGGAATTAACGAAATCAAAGGCTAGGTAAATGTAGGCATGCGATTACCAGGGCAGTTGGAGATTAGCCACATGATCTAACTGCTTACATTGGTCAGGTTTCTCCCGCCGTTTATAGGCTGCTTCAATGTAGCGCAAGGTCCGATTTATTCGTGCTCGAATGAGAACTCGGAAAGACGTATTGAGGTCAATAGAGTGACCACTGTCTAGCAAATGTTTTGTAATGGAGGACCATGGTACTTTGTTTTCGTGTTTTAGAAGCCAATTAGGTAAATGTTCAGCGGCCCTGGTTGCCAATTGCCTTTACTGTGAGAGAAACCCGACCTATGACAGCAGCTAAATCATGTGGCTGCATGTGGCTGTACATTTAACCAGCCTTTGATTTTGTTAATTCCCATCCCTTCTTTTCCTTCCAGTACCCCAAATTTAAAGGTGACATTATTATTGACTATTCGCCGCGTTGAAAAATGACCTTGCTGTTATATATTGATTCTGTGCAAATTCAAACTGCTGTCTTCTCCATTTGTTATCTAATTCATGCAAAAAGAGGAAGCTGTCCAAAAATTTGTTCGTATAAATAAATCCTGCTGTGTACGCTTGCTTTATTTTCTGCAAATGATTCTTTTTGAAACCATTTTTTCATCTTTCCTACAGTAAAAAAATATAATTACGCTTCATCTAGATGACATAAAGTAAATTTTGCAACTTTTTCAAGTACTTGATAATACACTTCTTGCAGATTTTGGGTCCCCTAAAGCAAAGCGGCTCGAATCAAATCACTCCGAATTTCCTTTCGGTTTGACAGTTCAGCGGCGACAGCTGACCAAAAATCACGAGAAAAAACATAAGGTTACTGATTGCAGGCTCTGGATTTGAATGTCCCGCGGAAACGTCAGCAGGGGGCCCAAGGAGAAACAGGATAGTATCCAAAGGATATCTTGTTTTCAATGCTGAAAAAGTCTATGCACGCTGAAGCCATAAAAAATCACTCATGCTCACCCGTGAAGACGTAAACTTTTGGGCAAAATGAGCGTCTCCACCTCTTGCAGGCGAGCACGAAAAAGAAGCAGTAACGCTTGCGATGCCACTCCTGCCAGGCTAAGCATAACTAACCTGGGTCATGTGATGCCTGATAGATCGATCGAGTGTACGTACGGAGTTCCAAAAGTCGGACAAATCGACCGTAGGCGTGGCCTAGCAACGACACACGTAAAACATGAGTGCACATGCGTTCTGTCACGTTAGCTACTTTTGTTCGTTTGATGCAGTGTTGTTCGAATCAAGAAACATAAAGTCGAATTTGCAGTAGCATGAGATGCGATCGCTGGAACAAGACGTTTATTCGTCTGACGAGTGCTACTGCCACTGTTAATGGCCTTGAGTGAGAATTCGAACTACTTCTTAGGGCTCCCTTCTCATTTCGGTCGGCCTTATTGGTCACGATATACATGACATACTCGTTGATTAACTTTCACCTGACCGCGAACGGAACGCGTCTGTCCCGCTCTGCCTTGGGCCTCGCCAGATGCCATGACAGCCGTACAGTTGGTAGTATAGGCAGATAGTATTGCCGGCAAAGATGAGGGCGACTGGAATGGCCACTCCAGTCTCCCTTGTCTTTGCCGGCAATACGATCTGCCTACACATCACATTGTCTAAAACTGGCAAGCACAGTCGGTACAGGTGAATTTCTTTAAGGCAGCGGGAAACTGAATTCAGATTACATTTGGGAGGTTAGCGTTCAGATACGAGGCAGGAAAATGATTTATTCAGTAATTTAGACAGACGGAGGATCAATCCCTCTAGAGGGAGCGAGATTGGCTCGCAGAAGAGAGAATATATTGTCCTTCCTAAGAATTTTCACACCATAAGGTACAGGTTACTAGGGGAAGGCAGCATATTATAATCAGAGAAGTGTCAAGGTGCACCTTCTAAATTAGTGACCTCCGACCGAATAAAAATATTCTGTTCAGACACACCAAATTTATAAAGCAACATCCAGTCGAATCCTTATTCAGTTGATGCCTGAAACTTAAATCTAATAAACGAGTTTTAAGTCGTTCGAGGACATTAGTTTCGATAACTGTAGCTGCATTCTACATCTTGCAATGGTCGGACTATCATAATTCGCTGAACAGTTTTCGGATGTGGATATTTGTTGTGAAATGCAGTTCTGTCGAAAGTAATTTCTCGGCTAACTGCTGATTGGGTTTCAGCCGATTTAGCCCAGGCTTATCAACTATCTCGAGGCCTCAGGGATTGCCTGAGCTATATGCGACACCTTCCCCCTTCCCTCCTCGCAATATTCACTATTTACAGGGGTTGTGACTGTTCCCGAAGCACAGTAATAGGTCAGTTCGCGATGCCCACACGTGTGGGTGGTGGAGAGGCGCTATCACTCACAAAAACGAAGTTCCTGGGAGAGCCAATCAGAAGCCTGGTACGCTGCAGCCGAAGCGACCAAATAACTTGTACGCGTGCTAACTGTATCCGCTGACG